TTTTTTTTTTTTTTTTTTAGATAATTCTGGTTTGATGCAGAATTATTGGATTTAATCTGAAGACTCCTGCAATTAAAATTAAGACTAAGAAATGACTGTTGACAAGTTATTTTTATTTTTAACTTAGAAACCCTTTACGCAGGATAAACGTGCGAAAGCGTGCTGCTGCTGCTGCTGCTGCTGCTGCTGCTTCCTGCCTGCTTTGCATCTTGGCTGTGCTGTGAAAACACTGTTAAGTTTGCAGTTCCTCAATTAGGTCATCATTACTTTGACTCTAATCTGCTCATGTTCACTGCAACTAACACACTCCCAGAGGAGTATTGCAGCATGTTTGTCCCCCAAGTTTATCTCAGCCCAAATTCACTCCTATCAGTCAGACCAGTTGGATTTCTTTTATTTAGTTTTTATCTTTTTAAATCCGACTTGGTTGCTGTGAAACCAAAAACGCAGAAAGAGGAGGTGAAGCGCTGTAACACGCGATAGCTGCAGAATGCTAAACAGACGGTGAGGAGGAAGCGGTTCTGTAGTGGACGACCAGTGGAGAGAACGTCGGTGTAGATTTAAGCTTTGCATGTATTTTGTTTTTACCAACGTGTTTGTATTTTAACACATTAGTCACATTGGTTGTTTGAACAGCTCGTCTCATTTTGAAGCAGTTTATCAGACTTCATGTGTGTGACACAATTAATAGACCGCAACAATAGAAAACACAAAAAAGAACTGAAACAACAGACGTTTATTTGCAGAAAAGGAGGCGACATGAGATGTTGCATCACTTTTAGCTTCTCCTTGTGTTCCTACCCTCCCAACGCTGGATCCTGTCATGTTTTTGATCAGTTATTTTATTCCTGGTAGTTTCTGTGTGTGTCTGTGTGTGTGTGTGTGTGTGCTGGCAGAGGGAAGTGTGTGGCTCATTCACATCTGATCCATGACGGTTCTGTTCACTCAGGACATCTCGTCTCGGACTCGTCTCGTGTACCGTGAGCTCAGTCGGTAGTTAGAAATGACTTGTCTGGTTGTAGGGCTGACAGGACTCCCTACAGCGACTCTGGATGATGATCTGATTGTTGTTTGTTCCTGTTTCGTTACCGACCCGTCGTCTGTCTGGTGTTCATCATGCTGTCCTCCAGCCCATTGCAGAAGAAAAGGTTCAGAGCTCATGTAGACATAGTTTTATTTTACACAGTGCTGGAAAAGTACCTGGAGTATTTATGAACTGATGGAAGAATGAGTCGAGCGTCTGGTCAGGGAGGACGAACCAGTGGGGGGATAAAACCATCTGCTCTTGACGTTACAAACCTCTTGTCCTGGAATAGGTTGAAAGTGGTGCCAGCTCTTCTCCATGCTATTCCAAAACTTGACACAGTATATTGAGAGCCTTAAAACGCTATCGATTAGCTCCCCCGTCGCTGCTGTCTTCTGCTCAGAGTAATAACCGAAATGAGAACTTCAGATCAGAAAACAGATCATGACAGAGGAAGCAGGGTTCTAATCACCAGACGGAGAGCAGCCCCCTGGCATTGGACCCTAATGTATTGTTTACTGTGCTGGAAGGTGCAGCACATTCCTGCTGCCTCGAAGACGTGACTCATTCTCCGCACGCCTTGACGACAAGACGAATGAAATTAACATACTAGTCACTTGTAATTACAATATTTAGCCAGCTGATCAAGTTTAGCCCCCTGGCAGCTATCAAAGGGCAGCTGGTGAAGTGATGGGATGCAGGTAAAAGAGACAGGGGTGTCAAATTCAATGAGCTTCTTCCTTTGTTACTCATCCGATCCTCGCCCCGCTGTTTACAAATGAAAGCCCGTCCGAGAAGACGTAAACCCCGCCCCCCCCCCACCTCCACCCGGCGCCGCTGCCGTGTTTGTCAGAGATGGTTTTCATCTCCGAGCGGACCCTCGGTTTTCCCATCGCTCCCCTGCTCTCAATATACTGGCTTTGAAGCATGCAGGATGCAGACATCTTTTTTATTCCTGCATGGTCTTGTCCAGACTGCTTCTCTGCATGTCATCTGAACCGCTTGAATCCCACAGAACACACACACAACTTTATTCGACACTCTGTGGGACAAAAAAATGCTCACAGTTGTTTTGTCCCCCTGACAGTGAGCATGAACAGAGACTTGAGAGTGGGAGTTTTCAGGACTGCAGACGGCATGATTACTTCATTTATGGTCTTGACAACAATGAACTGTCTTGGAGGAGAAACAGGAGCGGCCATTTCTCTTAAACCAGCTCAGGACTGTAGATAAAATTCTCAGAGTGGCCCAGAGAGCTCCAACCTGTGCTCGTGTGCTAATTAGAGGTGATGGTTCTGGTCATTCTGAGTCCTCACGCCGGGTCCCTGCTGGATAGTTCCGACTCATTGGATATTCATGATTGGCCCTTTAGACAAGCTTTAACCAAATCCCAAGAAATGAGACTCAGTCTGTGTTGTCTTGTCATAAGGATGTTAGTGAGATGTTGTCTCAGAGTGCTTAATGAAAATTTGATCCTAACTCCAGAGCTGAACCTTATCTGGTCTCCTCCCAGACAGCCCATTGGGAATAATCAGGCGATTGAATGACGGTGGGTGGATGAGGCAGATCTGCCTCCGTGATAGACTTTTGTCTTGCTGCAAAAAGGTATGGGAATGTCATCCTCAACCCAGCTTTGTCCTTTGTGGGTTTTTTTCTGTGGAACTGCACCGCGGTCCTTTGGACTGACAGTTCAAGCATGGCTGTCCGCTGCTCTCAGCCACAACATGTTTGAAGTGATGGCTTGCATTGCCAAACCTTTTCTCGGGGCAGCGTAAACTCTACGAAGAAAGATTTGCAGCAAACCACGAGCACTGAGCCAGCCGTTAGCTCCATGTGATGCAGCTGTGTTTGGATGCACTGACATACATTTGTTGGGTTGCATTATTATCTGATATCAGTTTGAGCTGCGGCGCTCTGTTCAGTCACTCACAGCGACATGGCCTGTCTCTCTTTTATCATCTGAAACGTTTTTTTAAATTGTACGACCAGCGATTTGGCCTCAGCCCCGTTTTTTTAAACCTCCCTTTCCATCCTTCATATCACCAAATGTTTGATTTTTTTATTGGCAGACGCTGAACATTAAAAACATGTTCAGTGGCTTCAGCTGAATTCACTAAATACTATTTTTAAAAGAAGCTTTTTTCTGCCTTCATGTCAGTTTTACGTTTGCTGCCCATTGTTCCTCCATTAAGACGGCCTCAGACAGAAACGACTAGAAGCCAAAGAACAACAGGAAGGATTCGAGTTTCTCCTGCTACTCAACATACCTTCATTTTTGTTGCTCAGAATAGAATTTGATGCATTTTTTGGACTCTGTGCCAAACTGGCTTTACAAAGCAGGTGTCTCACCTTGCATCATGATTCCTTCCTACTCTCAGCCCTCGCCACCTCCACCTCCTCCACCCACCACCCCTCTTTGGTTGGCACAGCACCATGTCTTTCTTCAGCATGCTCACATTCAAAACAGAACGCGTCCAGTGTTCCTGACTGCGTGTCTCCCACTTCTGCTTCTGTCCGTTGCTTCAGGTATCATGACAAACAGGAAGTGACCAGTAACTTCCTGGGAGCCATGTGGCTCATCTCGATCACCTTCCTCTCTATCGGCTACGGGGACATGGTACCGCACACGTACTGCGGGAAAGGCGTGTGTCTGCTTACAGGGATCATGGTAGGTTCCTCTCACCGTCAGTCACAATCAGAACCAGCTCTAATGGCCCAGTTGGTGTCGCCCTGGGATTGAGCAACAGAAAAATAACAAAATAAAATAACTATAGAAAGAACAGAAATAAAATAAGATAACAACTATACACATCAGATAAATACTTTAAACTCTCACCAGACAGCTCTGACCAGATCAGAACCAGACTACACTCACTGCCAGGTGCACTTTATGGCTGAATTCACTGCAAGAAGAACTTTAACTTTATGAACAATCATCACAGTTTGGGTTAAGGGGAGATACTGAAGTCACACAGGGTGTCCAAAGTGAAATCATTTTATATGAACCTTCAGTGTTTGAGCTCCTGTATCCGTCTGTTTGAAGCTGCTGCAGCCTGAAAACAAAGAAATGATCCAACACATTAGTATCCAGTATAGCATTAGCTTCTCTAAATACAGGATGTGTCCCGTTACCTCTGCTAATATGTTTTTTCCACACTGGTACATACGTTTAACAACCTGTTGTTGTGATGGTCTGCTGCTAAAAAGAAGCTGAAACTCCCTCACAGTCGTTCATAATGAACAAAAACCACCACCTGCTCAGTATAGATCTAACTTAGCCTAGCGTAGGCATTTGCTGTTTCTTGCTGCTTTGTTTTACATTAATCCTTTATAGCACCTTTAAGAACAACACAGGGCTTTGACAGGTACATGAAGTACAGGTAAACATCAGACAGGACAGGTGAAAACAAAACAATAAATAAACAGCAAACACATGTAGATACACACAGAGTGGATGGTTTCCTCTTCTCTCCTTCTCTGTTGTTTTATTGTTATACTTGGCTTAGTAAAGCTACCGTATTGCACCCTGAACATCCCGTCTCTGCTGCTGCGTCCGTCTGACCGTGTGTTTGTGCAACAGGGAGCTGGCTGCACTGCGCTGGTGGTGGCAGTGGTGGCCAGGAAGCTGGAGCTGACCAAGGCTGAGAAGCATGTCCACAACTTCATGATGGACACACAACTCTGCAAACGAGTGAGTCGCAGTGTGTTGCTGCATCTTTAAGAAACAAGCGTGTGTGTGTGTGTTTTGTAACTCGCTGTAGGCAGGTGTAGATGTGGTCCAAGCTCAGAGGCTTCACAACAAACAAAACTACCCACAAGTAAAATGTGCAAAAACATAAGAACATTAGGATTAAGCCTCTGAACCCTAGGTGTGTTTTTTTCCCCTCAACATTGTCTAACAGGTAAAGAACACAGCTGCCAATGTACTCAGGGAAACATGGCTCATTTACAAACACACCAAGCTGGTCAAGAAGATCGATCACGCCAAGGTGCGGAAACACCAGCGCAAGTTTCTCCAAGCCATCCACCAGTAAGTCCGGCGCCGCGTTTGCTCCCTGCCATCTGATCTACTGTAGACAGGATTCACCACCGACCACCAAGGGGGAGGGAGGGGGGGAATCTCCCAGCATGCTCAGAAGCCACATCTGGAAAACCAGTTCAGTCCACTGCTGTAATGTTGATGGAGCAGAATATCTGTGTAATTAACCTGACTGCTAATAATCTGATGAACCGTGTGTATCTGGTAGTGTTTCCTGCTGTGTCCTCTCCTAGCCTCCTCTGACTGTTATGCTCACACACATGTACCCTCTCACAGCCACACACACACACACACACACACGCACACACACACACTGCAATCTAGTGTAATGGTCCTCCCTCTGCCCTCCCGTCCCCCTCTCCCCCCGACCCTCTCTTACCCCGTGCTTACAGTGACAAGTGTAATGGTTTCACTCGTTTCGTGAATGTCGTGGGGTTAAAACTCTGTACTGTGTTCTGTCTTTGTTTTGCTCTATCACTGCAGAGCTCAGAAGTAAGTTGAGTCTTCTATGTATCCTCCTCCTCCTGTTTCCTCAGCATCCTCCTCCTCCTCCTCCTCCTCCTCCTCTCCATGTCTGCGTTTGACATGCATGAAAAAAAAAAGTTATCAAAAAAAGAGAGAGAGAAAAAAAAGTGCTGAATGCTGAATTGTTTTTGTTTGTTTTGGTTTTTCTTTACTTCCGTGTTCCATTGACTTCCCTCTCCCTCCCATTCTCCCTTTGAATGGAATGAGAAAAAAAGCCAGAACATTTTGCCGGTGGAGGGTTGTTGTCTGGAGAGAACGTGTGAAAGAAAAAGCATCCTGCACAGAATGAGCTTGGAGCTTCGTTGGCCTGGCCAGCAGTTCATAATCATCTACAGTGTGCTGTGGCCCATGATTAATATAGCTGCTCTGGGGCTATATTAACCTGCATCAACTGAACTCATGCTGCACTCTCGATGGTTTTGTGATGGCACACGATGTTAACGCGCCGTAGCTCCAGTGAGGGTGAACTGTTTGCTGTATGGCCTCTTTCCACTCCCACATGAGAGCAGAGCTGCTACGTGACATTGATGACGTGGCACAACAAACGTCGGACAAAGTTATGCTCAGAAAGTGGATCTCCAGCTCTGGTCCTGGTGAGCTACTGTCCTGCAGGTTTTAGACGTTTCTGCAACTCACCGGACTCAGATTGACGGATCATAAACAGACTTGTGGCTGCAGGTGGCTCGGTGGTTAGCACGTCACCTCACAGCTAGAAGGTCGGCGGTTGGCGTCCTGGTGAGGACAC